CAGCAAAGGCAACAATGTGGATTCCGTCCATGTCATCCTCCTGTTGATTGAGCAGAGACAGATCACTTCAAGTAAAGAACCAACAGCCGTTTAATTGACAGTTAACTTTTAATGGGCCTGCAGACACTCCCACAATCCAGTCTTGCTCACCCAAGTCTCAAACATGTCCTCAGCACGAAGCTTTCTCAGAGTAGGCCTGAGTGAAGATCAAACACTGTGTTTTTAGAATGAAAATTCCTATTTTAGATGATCTTTGGCAATGGCAAAATTCTGAGGATGCCACTGATATCACCTTCTGTGTTGATTGACAAAATCCACTATCTCCTCCTCTGTGTTGGGTTTGTCAGGAATGGTGACAGGCTCATCCATGAAGGGCTCATAGAAATCGATTTCATTCATTTTTAGTGTCAGTTGTTTAGCCACCTGCAGCATGAAACCGTTACAAATGAAGCCAATACATAATTATTTTTCCTCAAAGATGGAGGACACACAAGTATGCTCTCACTCTTGTGGTTATAAATACATATTCTTCTATACCAGAATAACACATCTCATGGTTTTCACTCTTGTTATTGTTAAGGAATGGACTGTACGCACCCCTTTGTCAAAAGTGGCAAAAAACTTCACATAAGGTTGGAACTTCTCTGCAGTCACCTGAAAGGCCTTATAATCTGAGAAACAAAAAGAACGTAAGAAAAATACAAGCACAAGTCTAAAAAACTGTAATAACATGGTAAACGGTGGCAGTGCTGAAGCACCACGCAGCTACTGCTCTCACAGCATAACCAGAGGTCACAGCAAAGCCTTCCCAGCTAAAATGGGATTTTTAATAAAAGCTGAATAGCAGTCATGTAAAGAAATTAAGCCCTTTTGACGTTTTTTCTACTGTGCCTTTTTGGGGAATGGCTCTATAATTGTGCTGATCTCTTTGACCAATTAGGCAGCATTTAATAGTCTGTGGGGTTATCATAGTCCCTGTTTTGTTTTTTTTCTCAATGAAATGAATGTACTAT